GTAGGGATGTGAAATGCAGATGAAATGCGAGTTTATTAGATTGCAAAAATAAGGCCACCAAATAGAACTCCATCGACAACGTAGTTTGGAAACAGTAATAATACACTAAGCAAAACATTAAAAAAAGGTACCGGTATGGGAAAACTCTCAGATCGGATACAACGAAAACTGAGCTGAAGACACATGCTAGGAAAATGACACATTTTTCATTTTATCACAAGTGATTCACGATCACTTGTTCGACGATGAACCGGTAGATGCACTTCCACTGGTTAGCCTGAAAAATACTGTTGTAGTCACGTATTCGATATATAACTATTACAAATGCATCACGGCTAGGTCTGATGGCACATCAAGCTACCTGAAGTAGAGGTCATGTATTTTTATAGGACTCACATCGTTAACTGAACTAATACGCCTTTTCACCCCCACCAAATGTTCATCTTGCCGATAAATTCATGTAATGACTGAACTAATACGCCTTTTCACCCCCACCAAATGTTCATCTTGCCGATAAATTCATGTAGTGGCCGCCGGAGCCTGCTGACATGACAATATCCATATACTTACTTTGCGAAATCCTTCGCCGAACGCTCTACAGATAGATTCTCGTCGTAATCGCCATCGTCTTCTGAATCACCTCAAGTCGATAATGGAAAATCAAAAAACGTTTGTAGAAATGATTTTATAGATATTTGTACCTCTATATGTATCGCTGTTGACGTAAAGAGGTTGGAGTTCAGCTTCTAAATGGCCATGACACGTACTTTCCCGTCGCCGAATTTCTTCTTCTATTCGATGTTCCACTTCGATAAGTTCTTGCTCAAGTGTATTTATCGAAATCTCCTTTTCAACGGGCCCTTCGTCGATGTCTGTATCCTTTGCGGGATCTGCACCTGGAAATGTGTAAATAAACAATGTGTGGACTGTAAACAAGATACAATATGCCCGTTGTTGTCCTCGATATATAGTCTGAGTGTTCTCGAGCCATAATTTTGTTGCATGCCATTCGTGGGTCATGGAGTTACCCCCCGCACTATCGACGGGGTACACTCTTGGTACACTCATATCATAAGGAAATGGCCGTATATATTACTAGCGGAGTATGTCAAGGCGATGTATCTACGACCAATTCACTGTCAAAAAATTGTCAGCCATAACATGCACCGCACTGGTAAATTAAGCACTGAAGGGCGGTATTACGCATAACCGCGCCAACCACAAAAGCGATAGACCGATAACGTACTTGAGGCGGCACTTTCTCATGAGAAACACGGATCGTACGTAACTGTGGAAGAAAAGTCTTCAGTTATGATATCAGATCAAAAGTCATACTTAGCGTATGTTGTACCACAGAACCCCATGAACTGCCAGTACCTGTTCCTCCATCATGACCATCGTTCGTTTCTGCGTCACGTTTATTACTCTCTTCCAGGTGTTTCATGAGCACAGCAACGACAACGTTCACCAATACAAACTGTGAAATCAAGACGAATATGACGAAAAAGCACGGTGCCAGAATGGGATCCACACAGCAATTAGTCTCGCAACGTTCTGACGAGTCACAATCATCTCGAAGAGCGTCCTGAATAGAAGCATAGACTCATCTCCAGAATTTAGACCGCGCTCCATTTTTTTTTTATTAAATTGCCACGACAATCGTGAGTGCTGACAGAAAGGAAAATTCAGTACGGGCACTCGGCTCTTACAGTTTCCCCTTAGCTTCCCAACACCCACCCCTGTGTCCTTGCCCATGGCCCCTTTTCGACGGGTCGGACATTCGACGGGTGAGAATTGTTACTGAAATGGGATTATGCTGTACCGGATTACTGTGGGAAACGAGTGCCGTACTAAATTTTCGCTTCTGTTGAGTGTTCTGGACGGTTTGCAAATGTAACGGCGAAAATTGCTTGATGTAGCGCACCCACCTTTGATTGATGCATGCGCTACCTACGACTACGAACCCCGCCTCCAACTTTTACCGCCCATTCTACCCTTTGCCTTTGACCACTTTACAAGTCCAGACATGTATTTATCGAGTACTACACAGTTTCTGACACTAAATCGAAATTTAAACCACGTATCCAACCTTCATGATGCCGTTCCAGTTGTCACCAGTGGCGATTCGAAAGAGCGTTAGGAAAGCCATACCGAAATTTTTGAAATGTGCATGCTCTCCCAAGCCATCGCACGGGTGATCTTCTGAGCACTCTGCAACAAAACATTGTCATACCACAAGGAATAGTGGTAGTTTTCAAAAAAAGAGATTAGTCGCAAAAACATACCAAGCTTTCCGAAAAGCTCTACTCCAAGGGCGGCAAAAATGAAAAACAACAAGAAGAAAAGCGATCCAAGATTTCCAACCTAAAAACGTTTGCTTTTTCTGTGTGTGTGTGAAATGAATGGATGGATTCAGGGATCATCCTGTGGGAGGATTCGCCGTGGCGAGCCCCATTACTGCGCGATTGATTGGTTCTCCAGGGGTGATCGATGAATGCGTCATCGAGGCGATGCACATTTCACAATAGCCGCAAAAGAGTGCTACAGGGGTATGGGTACATTCACCCAGAAATGGATGTACGCGTCAAATCGCGCGGCGAAATTCGTGACGACTTAAACGACTTTAGCGCCTACCATTGGGGCCAAGACTTGAAGTAGAGTAGATTGGTAGGATCAGCTGACCATACTAATGTACTCTATTTCAAGTTTGCCCACAAATGATAGGTCCGAAAGTCATCCTAAACGGCGCGAACCTCGCCGCGCCATTTGCCGCGTCCATTCAGTTCTGGATGAATGTTCCGTCCCCCGTGCTACAGAACGGAAGGCATCAAGGAGTATCTTCCGCCGATTGCGTGCGGCTGCGTGGCAGTTTTGGTCATGTGCCTTTTCATTTTTCTAGCATTGGAGCTAAGCATAAATTCCGTGGCATTTTCAACACTCATATCGTGACCCCTAGCTACACCACCACCCTCCCTCGTGTCCTTGCCCAACACCCCTTTTCCATGCATCGTATATGTATGTGGTGGGTGAAAATTCGGGCATTCAAATGTGGTTATACCGTGAAGTTAAATGTATTGTTCACAGAAACTCTGCGGAATTTGGAGGAATTTGCTCTTTGATACCTTTTGCACTTTGATGCCTTTTAAAAGCGGCACTCGGAATCGTTCCTAAGCACCATTATGGGCTCGCAAAGTCAACTGCTCCTCCTTCTCTGCGCTCTAGCTTCATGTTGGAAAAGAGCGACACCCTCTCCAGTTTCTCTACCGCTTTACCGGTGCCTTTGACTATTGTGAAGATGGTTGGAACTTTTTCTTCGAAAACTACGCTTGATGATATTGACTTACAAAACATCCTACTAGTACCCCATTCAAGGTCATCAATTTAGTGGATTACGGTGTGAAATAGAACATGACAATCCAAATGCAAGTCTGATGCAAGAGCTACATACCTGTGGCAGAGCTTCTCCGACCGTATCCAGGAGGGATCGTATTCCCTTGGCCATTTTGAGCAATTTCAGCACTGTAAACAAAATGAGCATTCTACAATTTGTTAATTTTACAATTATTGTCCAGCGTTTAGATACTGACCTCTCGCGATTCTCAGCACTCTCATCACGCGAATAATAGTTGGATTTATCGGAAGTTCTAATGCTTCAAACTCTTCAAAAATGATGCCGGCCACTGATAGAAAGACGATGAACATATCGAGACGATTCCAGGCTTCGCAGAAAAACCGTCTGATTCCAAGAGCAGCGAGTTTCATGGCTGCTTCCAGTGTGAATACAGCTGTGAAGAAGTAGTTCAGAGCTTTCAGAACATACTTCAATCCAGGCGGCATCATGTAGAACTCCATTGCCATTGATATTACATTGATACCTAGACATCGTGAAACTAAGTGGACATCCTTTGCTTATTAGAAAATAAGAGTTGTTGTAAGATCAAGAACATCCTTCTCACCGATAACGGCCGCAATGGCGAGATCAAAGTATTTAGACGTTACAACACCGTTCAGGAACATCCTCGTTGTTCCATAGTTGTGCCAGTAGGGCTGGTTTTTCTTCACTGAAAACGAATGAGCTCAGCTATCTATGAAGACAAGGGACCCCAACAGTCTTGTTCATCCTTTCGCAAACTGATAAAAGTCATCCGAAGTCACTCGATGAAACGGTGATAACATACCTTTCTTTTTTCTTCCTGCCACGCTCTCTTCATACTTCTGACGTTTCAGCTTACGTTGGAGCCTTTTTTCTCGGGCTTTCTCACGCATTTCCTTTGAATAAACATGTAGACTATATAGTCCTTCAGGGTAACGTTGGTAGGCTCAAACCTTTTCAAGGGCTTCTTTACATTTATGGAAGTTCTCAACTACGACTCCGACGAACATGTTAAGAACGAAAAATCCGACAAGCAGTAGAAATGAAATGAAATAGATCATTCGCCATTCATTGTAGTTCTCGATCGGCTAAAATGAGCAGTTGGTAAATAATGTCATAGAACCGGGGTTCCTACCGAAATCAGGGCAATTTGCCGCAGTACAATGTAGTACAAGAGCTAAATGTAAGGATAACGCAGTTGTGTGGAGCGAATCGTTATGCGCCCTAGTGAATTCATTGAATTGCTGGGGAAGTTATAGGTGTTCCTTCGGTTCGAAAGTTTACCCCAAACGATTCATCCCTACTCACAGAGCAAGCACCACATTCGATTCGGTAGTTCTACAAGGATCGGATAACCCACCTGTATATCCACTCCCACTGCATCGATCCCTTGATACATAATTGAAACCCAACCATCCTTACTCGATAACACAAAGAGTGACATCAGGGCCTGAATAAGCGTATTAGAATCAAATATATTTGAAATAGGTACAAACTAATGCACCGAAAGTGTCTCAGCCAACTGACCTGCCCCAAATTATCGAAATTATACCGATGGTTCACCCATTTATTCCGAGGATCTTCAAGACAGTCTGCTCTGTTGGTTACATTGGCTATATCCGGTCCAACGCAGTGAAACATCATGCCCTGAATTCATTTGCTTGTACAACTCATACTCACTTACGTGTTACTACTGCTTTTATTGATTCATTGAATTTTTATTTTCCCTTCTACAACGACAATTCCCAATTCGTAATCCCTCCCGAACGGCTTCTTCAGAAACCTATTTCGTTCCTGGAAAATGAACTTAGGTATTAAGTCATGGCACTTTCGACACAAAATTTTATTCCGGTAACGCCGACGATAGCCTTGTTGGTGTGACTCGAAGGATCTTGCAACGTTGGTTGTTCTGAACGAGTTGGGTGGGCTTCCCCAACCTCTCCCACAAACAGCGTTATCTTCGGACAAAACTACTGAAGACTGTCCAACTCTTTTGTTGGAAAGTAATCTAGAAGCTTCCCTCTGGGAACATCACTCAACGATTCAGACCGCACGGCAGAAAAAAAATGACATCAGAAGCGGAGTCTTTTCTTTTCTGGAACTCCCTCTAACAAAGTTTTCCGTTGAAAGACGATTGCAGCCCGTTCACACTAATGTGATTTCCTATAAACGTTGCACAGAAAAGCTGTGTCAGTCACTGCAAAACGTGTTAGGGCTTTTATTTATTCCCAATCCCACTTCCTCCCCTCCCCTAATTGCAGCTCCATTGAGTATTGCCCGTGCGAGTAAATGTGAACAGCACCAGCTACATGCCTCTATTGATCCTCAGAATTCCTGCATCTGGACAGTATAAAAAAATTAATTATTCATTTTTGCGGAACCCAGTCAGTGTAAGAAGCTTAACGAAATACATCATCAACTTCTGGATCGATATTTGTTGTTGAAAATTTAAATAATAGAGAGAAACGAGTTGGCTGAATTTTTATGCACCCATTACTAAAACATACTGCAATTTCACAGTTTTTATTGCAAAAAAATGTAAGAAAAAGCGTAGAAATATTGGATGATCAAACCATCCGAACGGAGAGTAAAAAATCACCTTGAAAAGTTGTACACCAAGAATTCCAAAGATGATAAAGAAAGTGCAGCAGATGAGCACAATATTTCCGATGGGTTTTAAGCTGAAAAACCATTCACATTGAATTTCAATAGTCTGTTTGTTACCATTACCTTTGTTAAGTTATGGTATCAAAAGGACAGGCCATTTGAGCGCACTGTTTCGAGAATCACCCCTCAATGGCAAAAACGTTAGCTGCTCAGCTCGACACAACGTGTGTAGAGAGATCTCGCCCTGCCGCTTCCTACTAGTAATGCATAGTAATCATATCTTGATCCTACTTTCCTGAGGAGAGATTCATAAATGCATACCTTCTACCGAGTATATCGCCATGCGACTATCAATATGTACCAGGTAGAACGAAAATACTCAAGTATGGGGAAGCTACCCACAAATTTTAAAACCCTTTACGATTTGGGAGGAGCTGAGTCCACAATAAATTTCGTGTCCACAGATGCATTGGCAAAGAGCCATTTATTGAACCCGGCCATCTGCCTTGTTGTCACTTACTTTATATGAATATTTAGTAATCCCATTAACGTGATGATTGAATAGCTATCATGTAGCATATGTACATTGTGAAATACCGTTTTCAAAGCTTGTGAAATGGTTAAAAGCACAGAATCACCTTGATATGAGAGTCATGACAACGAGTTTGACACCCGGTGCACGATTAATAACTCGCAATGGCCGAAGTGCTCGAAGTAATCGTAAGACACGAATTACGCCAAAGATCTTCGGCGAATCTGTAAACAAGTAAATAGAACAAATTTATTGAGAATAGTGAAGGTCACAATGCTTTCCTGTTTTTGTATCGAACAATTCGTACTAGTTTGTTGCAAATCTTCTACGGGAAAGTCATGGCCCCAATTAAATGTCCTGACCATCAGGCTCCACTCAACTTCATGCTCAAATGGGTTATCGTGTGATTGTTGAATTAGAAAAAAAGATAAGAACGGTTTTTTCCTATGGTGATCAATGTGGTGCTCGAAAGTGGTCGATATCAATCTCCCTAAACTGTAGACAAGTCCAAGACAAATAAATTTCGGGATCTATTTGATTTCACAGTTTACTACTGAGAATGGGGCCTCAGGATGGAAGCCGTCATACGTCTGCATCGAGAGGACACTCACCTCCAGTGGCGAACAATTCAAATAAGACGTTCACCAACGAAATGATCACCAATATTCCATCCAGAATATTCCAACCGTCCTTGAAATAAGCACCTCGACCGAGCACACAACCATTGGCGATCACCTGACAGTCATATGATAAAATACAGTAAAAAAAGAAACTGTGGACAATTAAAAAGCAGTATTTCCAATGAAATTGACAAGTCTTGAAAACGACAAACAGCACCTTCATGGCCATTTCAAGCGTGAATATTATTGTAAACACATATCCAGAAAACGTCAAAAATTTTCTTTCAAGGCTTTGGGGTGGTATAGAAGGACGTTCCATTGCAAGAGTTATGCAATTAATACCGATAAAGACTAAGATTGAATAATCGAACCATTTCTTCTGAGTCAATTGCAGGCATCTAGAAATAATCTCATAATGGAACTCTCGTGTATGTACACAAGAGATTGACAGCTTCACCTTATCCGGAACGGATTCTTTGGACCAAAACAGAACAGAGAATACTCGGCCTTCTTGTAAAGACAGGTCTTTCGCAAGAATTTCCGAAAGCACGTGTTTTGCTTTTGTTCATTTCGTCGCTCTTCTTCAGCCAGAGCTTGCTTGAGTTCTTGACTTGCCTACAAAAATGAAACTGGTGTTGTATAAATTGTTAAATGCAATGTAACTGTTAAGTTAATGGCCTTATTTAGCTCGCTTGGAAGAATATTAGAAGTTGGACGAGAAGCTACGAGTATGTATTGGGTCTCTACCAAGGCCCATCTGTCATAACCGATGACCCATGTAACGAATCAAAGTCACCATCGAATTTCTAACCTCGATGAACTTTTCGCGAGCATAAGTTTCAAGCAACGCTCTCCTTCCATGGATCGGACAATTAGGATTGAATTGCTGGCATAGCCCACTCCAACTGTGAATACGTTGACGATGAGTTGGACCACCGTTCTGCCCACAAAGCACGAGCGAGGTATGTCGATTCAGACTGAAGCTTTGACCCCTTAATACAAAACTTTTGATATGTATCACTCAATATTCTGAACAATTCGATTATGGGAAAACCTTACCGTTTACTGCTTCGATCAGCAGAATCATTGTGCTGCAGTGGCGATGAGTGACGAGCGACAACGGTGCATCGGTCAGAATTAGGTACAGTCTTCGTACTATTATCTCTCCCCACAGGCTCCTTGTCATCGGGGTTTTCTGTCGAGGATGCCTTAAAGTGAGGCAGGATCAATACAAAGGAGAGGCAGTGTCAGAACAACAGCGGTTTTAGGAGTAAGCAGGGCGGTTGAAAAGAACAGGTAGTTGTTGTTTTGTGGTTTTGTCTGAATAAGAGTACTATAGTTAATTTTTAAAAACACCGGATACTCACCTGATTATCTTCCCTTAATGGGACCAAAGGCTTTGGCACACAAGTGCAATCAGCTCCTTGAGTTCCATTTAGGAATGCGGGTGATGTGGATCTTGCCAGAAGAAGTTCCAGCTCCTTCTTTCGCTCATCCTCTTCCTCTTGAGCTTTTTTCTTCGCATCCTCTTCCTAAACTCGCTTCCATCATGTAGATGACCAATCTCACTAGGGTCCAAATAAATAAAAGCTTCCTCGCAGAGACGCTCTACACACGACAATTACCGATTTTTGTTTGCACATTGAAAGGAATAAGGTTAAGCGACACTATTATGGGAAAAGAACCGCACGGTATTGCGCTTATTCTTAGCATTCACAGAGATTACCGGATTGTTCGCTTTTCTACTTCAACTCCATGTGACGAGTGTTTCACCACTCCAGAACTTAAAGATCAATTTAAGAAATGAGTTTATTGAAAGTAAATGACCACACCTGCTGCCGTTTCTCTTCCTCCTTGCTTTCTTGGAACCCTTCAACCAAAATGGCTACTAGTAAATTGAATAGCACATAGTTTCCGAAGGTCATTAGAGCCACAAAGTAGAGAGCAGCCCAAGGATTTGTTTGTGCCATCCCATTGAATAACACCATATTCCAGTCTTCTTGAGTAAGAATCTGAATGAGTCCGTATAAATTCGAGCTTCACTCTTTTCCTCCTGTTTGAAAATTATGGAAGGCTTGTAGATTATAATGATGAGCTATAACCATTACATGGGCACAAGGAAATTTCGAAGGCTTTTTGCTAAGATAACTATGTCTCCGTTGCAGGACGTGTAAGCGTGTTCACTGATAATCGGGAGTGCACGAAGCCACTCTCTGTTAAGCCCTATAGGAAGCTCATCGTACAGTAATGAGATCATTAGGGTGGTACTCTCACCTGGAAAACTGTGAGAGTGGCATGAGGAAATGTGTCGAAGTTCATGCGATCACAAGTACACTCTTTGTTGTATATCTGCTTGCACGTACATTGTAATCCTGTTTCGTCGTGTACACAGAACTTGTAACCAAAAAGCACCATTCCTAGACAACTGAAAAAGCACAACCACAAATACGAACACAACAACTGGCACGGAGATGAGTTGATACAGGCGACATCCCAGTCGACGCCTCCAGTAGCTACTTCGCAGAAAGGCCTATGAGCCGGTTAATACCAGACAACTCCATGCAAGTTCACAACACTCTTGATAGCTTAGCTGTTCACTGCAATCTTCGAACACTTTCAAAAGTCATAGATATTGAGTGTATGCACGGAATCAGTGAATCCCTGTGCCCTCCCTATAATGGTTTGTCCCTGTTGAGAGGGCAAAGAGATCAAGCAATAAGAAGGGAACAGTGTTTCTGAGAGCCTCGACCACTTTTCAAATCCAGTGTACTTGAAACTCAAGTTGCAATTCAATTTACAGAGTTCAATGTACTGAAATCATCTCTAAGGATTGTTTCCCTGCTATAAGGCGATAAGTTCACTAGCATTTCATTTATGAGATGACATTACAACAGAACCTCATCAGAAAAAATACATTAAGTTTTGATAATGACCGTAGCACATATGAATAAATTCCTTCCCAATTGTATGTGTACTTAACAGCAAACTCACTTGGAAAACAGTTATGAGCGCCCATAGGAGTGTGTCGAAATTTTTCCGTTCGCATTTCTTCGATGTACCTCCGAGAAAGCGTTCTTCCACCTTGCAGAATTTACACCCGAATAAATTCATGCCAAGGATACTGTAAGTGTTAAGAAGGTCAGTTAACATGAGTTAATGACAGGTCAGGATATAGCAAAGAGGATTTAGTAAGAAAGATGTTTTGTGAAGAAGGAAAAAGTAGCATGAAGTAGTTCAGAAACAGCGATATTCAACTGGCTCTGTCTCCCTTGTTAAAAAGCAGGGTGACTGAGAATCAAAAGTGGTATATTACTGTTTGAGCAGAGCCATTTGTGATGATTTTTCATGCTTTGTATATATTTTAGAGACCGCTGCGCCGCAGGGCGGCGAAACTAAGAAGAGTTTAGAGTTGTCTCAGAGGATTAAATCTCGAAAGTATTGGGTTGTCCGAAAAGTTCCCGCCGATTTTTCACACCCCGGATTTATCAACCGTTGTACAAAAGATCAAGGACCCAACCTAATAATGTTGTATGTTTTCTGAAAGAGTAGGTCCTCCTCTTTACTCCTGTTGGGATTCTGTCAACATTTGTCGAAGTTTCTTTATACAGGACTCGTATGAAAATGGAAAACCACTGCGCGCATTTTCGACATCTGAAGTATTTCTTTTACCGCAAGGCCTAGAATGCGGCTCAAGTCGCATGAAAGATACATTACGTTTGAGTAGACCACGCCCTAGAGGAACGTACAGTGCATGCCTAGTTTGCGAAATCCAAACAGAGTGAAGTTGCCGTCGAAGACCGGCAACCCTCAGGGAGACTATCATCAGTTTAAACGACCAACTCAAAATGTTCACCGAAGCGAATCGGCACATCACAGCTCGTGGGGTAGGACAAGGGCTTAGTGTTTCGAAATTAACCATCCGTGGTCATCTGCAAACGCTTGGTTTTGTGAAGCGCCTTGGTGTTTAGATATCTTGCGAAAGGAGCGAGCACAGTATGATGGACCGCGCCTCCGTGTGCGATCCCTTGCTCAAACGAAATAAAAATGAGCCGTTTCTGAAACGCATGAGCACAGGGGACAAAAATCGGATTGTGTACAGCAATGAGGAGCGGAAACGATCGTGTAGCCCCTTAACGCCGTCACAAACCGCTGCAAAAGTCAAAATGCAGGTGCGGATGACTATGCCGAGTTGCTGATGGGATTTCAGGGAAATCACTTACCATGAGCTGTTGCCGCACAATCAAAAGATGACTTAGGAAAGGTACTATAGTTAGCTAGAAAATATGGAGGCAGCGATAGACCAAAAGCGACCCGAAGTGGCCAATTGTGAGGGCGTAATCTTCCAACAGGGTACCTCCAGAACACATTTGTTTTTGGCCACTCGTCAAAAGTTGCTAAAGCTCGGGTGGGATGTCTTACCACATCCCCCATATAGTCCAGACATAGCACCATCAGAATTCCACTTATTTGGGTTTCTGCAAAATTCTTTTAAGGGAAAATCATTCAATTCGCTGGAGGAATGCAAAAAGCACCTGAGTGGGTTTTTCGATTTTAAGTCTGGAACCTTCTATGGAAGAGGGGAACTGGAACCTACAGGAAGATGGCGAATCCTTACTGAACAGGATGGAGGATATATTGTTCAATCAATGGATTTCTTCTTCTAGGAATTTTCATTCAAAGATGAATCAAAAATCGGCGGGAACTTTTCGGACAACCCAATAGAAAACGTGGTGAAAGGCTGGGCGAGCGAATTAGAGAGCATTCCAAAGCAAGGAAGCTCGCCCATTGGCCAACCATTTAGGGTGGGTAACCGCTCGCTCCGCCCACACACGAATGTTAGCTCTGCATTCAGCGTTCTAATCATCGCGCTGTGACGGACTAAAAGGGAAACCTCACGTGGCACATGCTACCTACCTGAAGATGAAAATGAATAGCACAAGTAGGCCAAAGAATACAGTAACATTATCCATAGTCCTTAACATCACGACTAGCTGATAGCGAAGTGCCGGCATAAACCGGACGAGTTTAAGGATTCGCAACAGTCGGAACGTGCGAAGCACCGACAGCCCTCCTTTGCCCTCTTGAAATAACTCCAGCACGCTGAAAACCGATGTTTTGATATAGATCACCGTGCGAAGGGAATCAGATCAGTACAGTCGTTTGAAATAAAAATAAAGTTAGGGTAAAGTTTGGAAGAAGAACCTGAGCGCCACGATTCCGCCATCAAAAAGGTTGAAGCCATCTGACAGATATCCAAATAAACCATCGGCAAGAATCTTCAGAAGCATTTCGAATGCAAAGAGGCCCGTAAAGAATAGATTGGAGTATTCCAGAATGATAGTGAGAATTTCTGGCTGAAATACTGAGGCATAAACGATCTTATCTTCATGTTTACAAAACAGTATTTGGTAAATAGTTAACCTGCTGGTGATACTCAACACCCATGCTCAACGTGTTCACCAGAATGGCCACCAGAATTCCTCGAGTAAAATGATCGCAAACGACGAAACGACGGACTTTTGCACGAAACCACCGCCATCGAGACGATGCGTGCGACTGCTTCTTCAGAACCTTAACGTAACATATCACTATAAAAAGTAAAGGTAACATATCGCGAACTGCGTCCGAAGAAGTTTCGATTTACGTTATCTTATGTGAAAAGATCGACCCCTTCACCTCTAATAAGGGTAAAAGGGCGGAATGAAGTGAGGTTCAATTGCTTGAGTCATGTGGACTCTAATCAGTGAAGTACATGTACTGTACAACTTTACCACTTTTTAAATTCTTTGCAGTACCCAGAACGCCTCCAAAGCCTTCCTCGTTGAAATTCCGTCTCCCGCAATAATAACAGGCACATCATTTCAAAATTATCGTTGTTGCCTATCCACACTGTTTTAGCTTGCATCATTTTGCATTTTGGAAAATAACACGCCTTGACGCAAAGGCGCTCAGAGGTGGCGCGGACGCTGACGTGCTTTACTAGCGTCGAGCGCCAAGGGTTGACATGAAAGGTTGCTTTGGTGGTCCACGACCAGTCGCGCGACCGGTCGCGCGACTGGTCGCTCGCAAAATCGTGGACTATGAAAGATGCCAAAACGCTACCGGCGCTTGACGTCTGACGCTCGACGCCCTTGCATCAATAGTTTTCGATCCCACACCCTTAAACAGTCCGCTGGGGCTCAAGATCGATCACAGCGGAAGCACTATTTGCCGGTCGGTCTGGCTTTTCGCCAAATAGTTGGCTCTTCCCCCTTTCTTGTAATGTGCGGCAATCAAGCGAATGGAGAGCTTCCGTGCACAGCTTCGGAGACAGGCCAAGAAGATGAGGGTTACAAGGAAACAGATATAGTTATCGTGCAAGAGTGGTTTAGGCACATAAAAGGCACAGTTCATGAATAAAATGGTTTCTGAGATCTTTCCGATTCCTGAGGACAAGTTTTTTCTGATTTTTTTTCACCGAGCCCCATCGATGAGGCCAAATAATTGCTGTGGTCTTCAGACGCAGATCACACAAATTCCTATGTGGCAAGATCTTCTGAAGATAATGACAAGTAATTTATATACCTTACACTCGCCATTGTTAGACCATTCCTCTTCAGTTGCTGAACCCTCATCGCTTGTCGGGCCATGTGCCAAATGTCCTGGAACTATTTGTCCTAAGATAACTAGTACAAATGCCATTCGAATAGTTTAACATTTGAGTTCGAATAAGCTTCAAGTAGGACTGGAGCAGATAAAAGTACTGCTGCTAATGCACGCGTGATCTGATGGTTTAAGTGAGGATTGGAAGCTATCCGGAACCAACGAATCTTTTCGTCCCGACCGATTTTTATCCTCAGTACAGTGGTCATTGTTTTACTAAAATTGAAAGTACCGTTTCCAATTTTATCCTGCTCTTCACCAATGGTTACTCGTCGTGACCGCCTTCTTTTTGTGCGCTTCTCTTCAGTGCCTGCTGTTTCGTATTCGCCCGTGGGTTCAACTTCTGAAACTGGGTGAAAAGACAGGCTTCAAATTAGCTGTCTTTCATGTAAAAGTGAAATTTAACACTAAGACTTTGACCGACACGTGATGTGATAAGGATGTTCTAGGATGAAAGGATAAAGCAGACTTGCCTTCCTCCTCGTCAGTACGCTCTTCAATTCTGGACAACGTCGCCATGTCGTCTAATTTTGATTTCCGTCGTTCCTTTGCCTCTGTCTTTTTCTTCTCTCTTCTTTCTTTCATATAGGCGGTAAATTTCTGAACTATGAACTCTTCTGACTAGTCGCCGTTCTTTCAAAGGAAGTGTATAAACTCAAAAATGAGTGCTCTAATAAAATCAGTTCAGCTTGAATTGAAAATTAGCTTAGATAAAATTGAAGTGAAGGTGAGCCACTGGAAGCCGTAACTGACCCTCTTAACAGCCCGTTTCGTTTTTCGGAATGTGTGGCCAATGAAACGAACAATGGCTGCATATACAGTATCTCCTCCTTCTTCCTTAGACGAGGTGCCACCAGCATCACTGCCACTTCCAGCTGAAAGGAGAAGATTTCTTTCTCAAAACGCGGATTCATAGAGCAGTGGTCACATTTTTCAATTTTCCCCATAATACGTAAAGCGCTATCGAAAACTTCTTATTCCTTCTTCCACAACCTGGTGCAGAGCAGCGCGCACATTTCTCTAATGCGCCTACTCTCATAATCAATACATATTCTATTCGTTTCGCGAACTATTGGGTTCTGCAGTGAAGCGCAAAGTATAAACATGACCTCCTGTTCCCTGCTGACACAATGCTACCATGTTTGAACCAAATCAACATGACTTCAGGAACAGATTAGTGGGTCTATAATCGATCAATCCTCACATATGGAATCTGGGCTCCGATTCTGTAGACGCTTTCGTTCTTGTAGCATTCGTTCTGTTTCGCGTCGCTTTGTCTCAGCGAATTGTGTTGCTATTACGACAAGGCACAAGTTAATCATGAAGAAAGCACCTATCTAAAAACATTCAAATACAAGCGTTAAAAGGAAAAGTATTTTCTATTGAGCCTAACACGAGTAGTACACAAGTCACCATTCAAGAAGTGAAAATATGGGATTACTTACAACTATTAGTAGAACAAAATAGATCCAATTCCAAAAAGAATGGGCGTCTTGGACATAGTACATGATATCTGTCCATCCCTCCAGCGATATCACCTTAAATGAATGATCTTGGTTTCTTCCTTGATCGTACTTTAAGAAAACGGTGTACAGAACACTTACAAGAAAAATCGCTACCCATGCGAATCCTATATTATCAAATGACACTGAGCCTTGGAAAGGGTTCCGTTGCATAACCTTAAAAGGAGAGTAGTGAGTGGTATTCAATGATTTTCCTTGCGTATGGGTATGGAATCCAACCAACTGATGATTTTTCAGAACATAATTATGTTCCAGAAACATAAATCTCAAGCCAGATTCACCTGACACTCGTTGTAGTAGATATTCCAGTTGATACACGCTTTATCACTAACTTTATCATAATCATCAATAGTTAAATTACACCTGAAAAATACTATTTACACTAAATCGAAACTGTGGCTCGAATGATTGGATGCATTCAGACTCTAACGACATGCATTGTTTCCACCGACCGCCGGGGTTCGTGGTCACGTGTTGACAACACTGGACAAGTCGCGTTCAGGGCACGTGGCTCGTGAGGGCGCGTGCTCCATCCCAGCGTTATAAACACGTGGCCATGAACCCCGTCGGCGGTCGGTTGCTCGTTGGAAACAAAGCAGTCGGTGGAGTTTGAATGCACTCATTTGTGAAAAAATAACTCGAAAAGATATTGCAAACGGTTTGTAATGCTTCAATGGCTACTATATAAAGTTTACAAACAATATTAACGTTTGACCACACAAGATCAAAAACGAAAGTTCTCAAACTTCCAACCTCTACTAAGTGTTAAATATGATTGAAGGCAATTCGTCAATATAAAAATAGAATTTTACTCGAAGATATTGATAATGCTGTGAACAATGTCTCACTTCACTCCATCCACAGTATATGGTGGAAGATTGGAGCAGGTGTGCAACCCGTTTGCATCTGCATGACTACATATGTATTCTAACGAGGTATCCTCGGGAATATAGAATCTGAAACGAAGAGGATATCGATGATTATGAAGGGTGGTTCAGAAATACCTCAGGAAATTTCGAATTTACATCAGAGTTATATTTCGAGTTAAAGAGTATGTGAAAATGAAGTACATACTCTTCCATGCACTTTTGTTTGCTTTCTAGTTTATAGGTAAACTCTAGTAGGTAATCCGAGAACTTGCTGAGCGATACGTGACATGTTAAAAAATACTTTTTGTCTCTCTAAGTTCGGCAGCTCTAGAGATCACCCTTACTTGAAGAAAAAAAAACAGTAGAAGTCGCCTACCAGGAAATCCTGAAAGGAAGTCAAAAGGGTACATAGTCTGGAAAGGTATCCATCAGCGAGTAAATCAGGGAAGAAAGCAAAAAAAGGGACGAGGGTAACGGGGGGGGGGGGGGGGGGGGGGGGGGGGGGGGNGGGGGAGTGAAGGGGTGAACATATCGACCATATTTCAATGTCAATATGAGCTTTGAAACAAACCCGTTCATGACTATTCCAAGTAGGACATATTCAAATTTGGTAAAAATCGGTTGGCAGAAGTTATGAATCATTTAGTATCACATGTGAGTGTTTGAGACTTCTGTATAATATTACCTGGTTAGTTTAACATCATTGAATAGTGCGGTTTGATTTTCGGATATAGTTTTTGGTAAATTGATAACACATCGGTTTCTGAAAGAACATTCGAAATTGTAATTTTGCACTATACATAATTGTTGAGTAAATATACTTGCTTACCGCAATAGACCCGCCCATAGCTGAACTCCAACAATTCCAAAAATGAAAAACACAAAGAAACATAACAGCAAAACATTTCCCAACATGGGCAGTGTGTCGAGGAGGAGATTCACTGCAAGAAATCTCATCAATAATTCAAGTATTACCATTAAGTTTTACTTACATTACTCGATAGTTAGCTTCTGCCACTACGTACTTTGTTTTCGTCAAAAATGGTAGCCTAGCCTCTACCCCATGAGATTCTTTCAATTCATTGCGTGGGAAACCATTGCTAATTCATTTCTGATCTATTGGCAGTTCCAAATTACATCTACAAATTTCCGAACTTGGTATCTTGTCGCTAAGCCACGCCCGATACAGTACGTAAGAATTATAGCAATGTTCAGGTGCGCTCTGAATGCATGACCTATTTATTTACATAGGCCCTGTCCTGACTTTACGATTTCCGGTTGACCTTCGTACAATGCCTAAATTTGCCTGGCGAATTCAAAGACTTTATCATTATTTTCCTGGCGTGTAATGCGCTGAGTAGTATTAATCTTGAGTTTTTTCAGAACTGTTTGCTGAAGAAGATGGAATGCAGATCAACTAGTCAGTAACAATGATATCATCACTGTATAATAAAGCCAATTAATTCGAGCACAGATATCTGACGCAGGTCATGCGGTTCTAGGAGGGCAACGAAGGATGTGATTGGTAGATTATTCGCTAGAGCCAATCCCGTGCATTCCAAGAACTAGTGCCGCGTCGCAAAGCCAACTAATGCTTTCGTCTTGGAGAACTAAAGATTTGCGTTAACCAATGAGACAACAAACCCAGAATCCTCATCGAAGGTATCCGATTCACTGCTCGAAGTGGTCGCAGTACTCGTACCGTTCGTATTGCAGTTAGATTGATATTACCGCCAAGATATTCTTGTAACAAGAATTCGGCGATCCTGTAAATAACTCAGTTTCACGACTTTACATCAGTCGAAGATAATTGGCCGAATGTTATTTTCAATCGCGCTTGTAAAGTTCTGAGCAAGATCTTCGGAGAGGAATATCCATAACGAATGCTCCTCATAAGTGGACCACTATACTATGGTAGTGACTAGGCGTCAAAAGGATACATGAAATCGTTCCCATATTCAGAAACAAAATAAAAAGTTTATCCAGCTTTCCTTCAAACATTTTTTTTTTGCGAGTCCGGTAATCAAGTCTTCTTAGAAGGCTCGCTCCTACCACCAAGTCTCCTCGGGATCAATAATTGGTACCAGACTCGCTCACAAGAAAAATGAATCAAAATGTACATAGAAATGCCCGCCCTCGCATGTTTTTGGATAAGACAAATACACATCCAAACACCGCTAAGGTTTCGAATATTATAGAAACTGAAAGCAGGCGTTCAGAGAATGGCCTGCATCAAACACTTACCCTGCCATCACAATAAAGAAATCGAGACGATTCCATGTATCCGAAAGGTAAGCGGCAGGACCGGTGAAACCGAGTGCAACGATTTTCACAACCTGCAAAACGACTACACTTTAAAGTGGTAACGCAATATATCTATGAAAAATTTTTAAACATGTTTATTCGAAAAACAAACTATTTCGCATGACGGACAACAAGAGCATGGCCATGAAAAAACAGTACCCACGAATCCACAGATAAAATTAGCTTAACTTTTCAGTTTCGACTTATCGTCAGCGTTTATAACCGTACAGGAAAGAGAGTTTCCTGGCTCGGACTGGGAGACCAGGGTCATATGGTCAGAAGAGAGAGGATCACGGTCCTCAGTTGGAGGCCCTGGTTTGAAACCATGCCCCTTCCCCCTTCTGGGACGTTATGATTCCGGTTGCTACTATGAAGGTTATGACCATGGCCTTTCAACTTATGACGCTGGTAATCATCACCCGGAGCCGGAGTTCGGACATTACGGCCCTGATCCCTCGACTCAAAATTCCTTCTCTCTGTATAGATATAAGCATTTATGACAATGAAGAAATTGAAAAACTCAACCGCTCTTATTTATAGAATTTCAGGGTGAAAGGTTTGGTGGATCGTTGACGGATTTATCTCTACTCACCATTTCCGCAGCGAAATATGCAAATATGGCGTGATCAATTAAGGCGAGGATATTACAACGATATGTGTTGCAGTCAGGCCCGTCGTCGCACGGCCGATACATTCCTGAATGGAAGTATACAGCTTCAACGAAAAGTATCATCGAAAAACGATAAGGATGAGAACGGAGCCCTACCTAATGTGATACAGTTGATGAGGATGACGCACATCGTGACTCTGTCAAACCATGGACTCATTACTAATGTAAGGGCCCAAGAACGGGGAGGTTGCGCCTGTCTCAGACATCGAAGAGCCGGCTCTGTGAATCTGAACCGAACGATATAACTCAAATCAATATTTTGGGATTTATAAACAGCAATTAATGACAAATGATCATAAAAAACTACTCGATCCCCATAGACGCTCTGAACAATTTGACCGCAGTATTTAAGCTGCTGACTGCGCCATGCTTGTAGCACTTTGCGGAGTAGGTTCGCTCAGTTCTGCGAATACGGCATAGCCTTAGCTGTTGAGGATCGCTTTCTCTGACTTGCGACATAAGAACTTTCAATCAATATATCCTCCTGGGTGTTTTAAAACAATGAAGTTTTAACTTCGGCACAAATAATACTGACATAGTGAGAGCAGTTGTCGTGAGCGTAATTAAGTGAATTAATTACCCAGGATATGGTAGATCATCCAGATCCTCGATGCGTTCCTCTTCTCCCCATTCCACCTGTTTATCCCATCGAGATGCAGATGGCTCGTAGGAGGTTCCTTGCTGAAGTACACATAGGTTACTCATGCGCCACATGAAAAAGCCTTTCACATCTTCGATTCGACGAAGGATTGATGCATCAGCTAATCATACATATTTCAGCTGATATTTCAGGAACAATTTCTGGGTATGGCTGTATATAACTATTGAAAATATCAATATTAGCTGAGTGTTTTTGTTAACAAAGGCAGGGATGCCCTACGAATATTTATTTCTCAATTCAAGCATTCGTTGCATTGAATCAATACGGACTTCTTTCAAGAAACCGTAGTGTCTGCTCAAGAAAAGTTTATACTGGCCCTTGAAGTAGAAGAGAAACACTGACTGCGACCCAAAGTATTGGGAACGAAAAAACATAATGATCGAAATGACAGATCGCTTGAACATTTCCGGCATAAACAATCCAGTCGGCCTCTGTTCAGAATCGAATAGAAAGCTGAAATCGTACTCGACCCAGACTGACTTGCAAGATGGACTACTGCCTCGACCTTTCTTCCCCTCCTCTATTCAGCGCCCTTATTAAACCCTTCTTGAAAATCAATTTATCCAGCAACTAGCAACTGCCTACTATTGACAATGATGGAGGAAAAAGTTCCTTAAAATACCTTCCTCCAACTCACTAGTTATTCCTCGAGAAAAATCAAGAAGCTCTTTCCGAGAAAACTTCGAAAGTTCGCTGCTTTTTGCGTGAAATTAGGAAACTTTCGCCTGACCACCTTGACGAATGCTATAAGTGGATCTCTTGAAAGCTTCCCCTTGAAGCAAATCAGGACATCGGCGACGATAATAGAGAGTCCTTAGTCCTCAAACTAGACCCCCTGATAAAACTCCATTACTCGTGGGTTAGAGGAAAGTGATAGCAGTGCAAGAATTTGACAGCCTCACCGTGGAATCTGACAGGATGAGCCATGCCTTCTTCCCTCTTCCTTCTTCATTTCACAACGAAAAACTAACCATTGTGCAAGCCAAATAAATATTAGAATAGTCCTTCTATCCCATTAGCATCGGATCAGCTGGATTGCACAGGTCACCCTACTCGAAACTTCAAAGGTTTCTCTGAACTATCGCAGCTATTTATCTAAGAATGTGAAAGCCGTGGTTGAACAGCAGTCGATCGATGTGTAACCCATATTAAAACCCATAAATGAGAACGGGAACAGGAGCATTTCTCATAGCACGGTCTCAACAGAACAGGAGGGTTGTACGGGAAAAACGACCATACGACTGAACCCTCCCCTATAACTTCAAAGAATAGGCAATTGAATAGAACCAACCAGAATCTTTGTGAACCAGCTAGTGTTCGGTAGTGATGAAAAAGCGAAATTATGGATATATGAATACCGGACTGGGATTTACTACCAGAGCTGCCCTCATATCTCGTAAAGAGTCGTCGGCGTTGGTATTTCGAACGTCATCATCGTTCAATGAACCCGCAAGACAACACGCATTAATGCGTTTCCGGCTGTTTTTTGAACGACAATTTTGGAGCGCCGGCATAAACGATATTGATTTTCCCATGGAGAAAACTTGTAGAATCCTCAACAAATTGAGATAAGGATAGTTCTAGAACGCGATTCATGCACGTCCAGGGTATCTTCTGGGCTCAGCACTAAAGTTTTCATTAAGAAGATGCAAAACACTAAATAAGCTGATCAACATCAGTGCTGTATTTTGTTTTGTATCTTGTGCATGCATCAAATATAAACATAAAAAAGGAACAAGTAATGAATGAGGAAAGTTTGTCTAGGGCTTAATTCATTTGGGGGAAATTCTATGGCGCTAACACGCTCCAATTGATAGGACTATTTATATCAGCTGCTCGTGGTCCTAGATCTAAGAGAGCGATGAATTAGCTTTGTTGATCCGACAGTTCTAAGAGGCCGGTAAAAGGTTTCTTTCCAACGAAAGAGCTTCGGAAGCTCCTTCTTTTCGACGAATTGATTAAATTGTTAATTATATGGATATCCTGCCGTAATTGTGTACTTTTCAAAGGGTTGCAAAATCTAATGATCGTTGTGTCTATGACACAATGAATTATTGAAATCAATAAAAATATTTCGAGTTAGACTACCTTTCCAGCTTCCGAGACAGTTTCCTTTGAACCGCCGACCGATCCAATTGTCTGGAACACGTAAAATCAAGAATGGCGGAAGGAAAAAGCGTGGGATACAAATCTTCAAACATACATAAACGATTATTGATCAAGAACAAGATATAACAAGTGATATTTACTACGTTATTTACTATGTATAAAGCACACTCATGATCCATAACATTAACTCAAGGGTGTTTTTTTGTTTAGTACCTGACGGCTTTCATTTTAGAAACGGACTCAGGTTATGGGGTAGAAACATTGGAGTGATAGAAAGTGGTAACAAGTAATACGAGTTGATAAATTGCATATTAGGAGCAAAACTGCTGGATCCATTGCGTCTTTCGTATGGAAAGGGGGAGCCCACGCACTTCAATGCTACTTGTTGGGTGTCATGGAATTACAGATATAGCGAAAAGAATGCGATAGTAGCTGATCATGCTTGGTTAAAAGTGTTGAAGGGCAGTACTGTCGAGTTCAGTGCCGTTTCTTTCCTGCTAAAAAGACTACGGAGGTGTGAAATATTGTGTCAAGAATGGTGAATCAATCGCACTCAATAGAGGACTATTAGTGGTGACCTGGTATCCCGGTTCAAAAGAAGTAAATAGAGATAAGTAAGAAATTGCCAAGCGGTCAGTAAAATATTTTAATGTGTTAGTACATAAAAAAGATAATAAAAACATTCAAACAAACATGGATACAAAAAGGGTCTTCAAAGCCGATCACTTCCCGGAAAAAAAACCAGAAAGTTCTAAGCAGTAGATTCCATACCTCGAGATCGTCGAACCTTTTCTTGCTTTGAGATGGTCGACGAGTTGCAAGCACACTTGATGTACGACGACCAAGAACGGATCTGGAACGAGGATTCGATGGAATGCCGTATGTATTTCAGTGAAAAAACTGAGTCTTATATGGAGGCCATAGATTCATTCTCACCTTGGACCTCCCGCATATTTGGAAAGGGATTGGAAGCTACGCAGTTCAGGAACTGGTTGCTGGAGCATCTGCAATATTTTCTTATTTGTGGAAGTTCATACACTGACAGCAAGAAATCCTACATAGACTTTCGACATTTATCAAAACATTGCTCCTTCTCTACTTCAAACCTTCAGGGATTCAGCTATCTATGGATTAACATTTTACGTATGAAATATAGTTATAAATTTGATTCTATTGCCCAGATTATTTCGTTTCTAGATTATTCTAACTGCTTACTGTCCGAAAATTTTGCATTAGTGCTGAATTACAGCGAGAACTTTCAGTCTCTGGCAGTTTACAAAACAAAATGATTTCGAACCTGTCAAATTATCAATCAAAGCTCATAGCTTCACTTGCCAATGCCGATACCGACCAACCGATGCTGACTATGGACATGCACATTCAGCATGCTTTTGACAGTGCAGTGGATAATGCCCGGCACAAGGGAAGCACAGCTCAGGGATTCGACCCCGACCCGTAATCAAGCTTTTTCACGTAACTCGGCTTTTTTGATAACAAAACTAAAATTTCTCCAACAAATTAGCTGGGATTCGAAAACCATGTGCCCCCTGTGCCCCCACAACCCTCACAGTAAAATTTCGGGTAAGTATTAGAATTTTTGAGTAGATCTAACGCTACGCTACCTCACTACTCCTTAAGCCGAAAACTAACACGAAAATGAAGGCATTACAATTAAAAACGTGATATGAAGAACATCATTAAAATTTACGAAAAATTCCTAGCTGCATTTATGCCGTTACGGTGGCCGTTAAGAGTCAAATGGGATGTTGAAGGGCTCCACTACCATCCTTGACACTTCCCATTTCCTCAAATAGCTGAGTATACCGCGAGTGATGCGCACTGCTGATACAACAAATTGGAGTTTGTTCATCAGTTACCAAAAAGTTCTACTATGATAACACCTAGTCCCTTGCTTTTATGTTTCCAACATTGAAGGAGTCGTGTTGTCAACTCAATGTTTGACTTTATTTCTTCTGACAATCGCATAAATACATATTTCATTTATAATTATGCTGCTCGAAAGATGATATGAACACGTGATTGCATTAAAGGAGAAGAAGATCCTTACCCTTAGGTGACTGGATCAAAATGCGAGCGCATCAAGCAACAGCGGAGTTATTATCGGCGATAACCACGGCGTTCCAGTCTGTGAAAGCATAGATGATCACAACTTCATTCTTTCTCAATACTTCCTCATATTACAAGCGAACAACGACAGTTGTTAAGTCATTAAACAACAAATCGATCGTTATCAACGTTGTTGGTGGCATTACTGGTCTGCGACCACTAGGGATGACTATTTTTCTGGAATATCCTTGTATGAAACAAAAGGAACGAAGCGAGCTGGTACGAGGAATACGAGAGTAGGAGGAGAGGGAGATTTCCACCTCAAACTCACAAACAGCTTGACTTCGTCAGGCTTTTTCATGGGAAGCCTGACGACGCATTTTTAATGAGTTCTTTAAGACGACTCTATCGCTTCCAAGTGAATATATATGTATGTTTATACATATATAGACGTTCAAGCAGAATTTCAGGGAAACGGAAAAACTTCAAAGGGACTCGTTATCAAAAATGGTAATGAAATTCAAGCGGAATAGAGGAAAAAAGATTATAATCGACTAGCAAAGCCTAATGAATATATGTAAGTGCAAATAACACTGATGTTCACTACGGCTGGGTACTTAAGGGGAATTTCACCCAAAAACTGGAGAACTTCCAACCATCGCAATGGATTTTTTGATATGGCAGTAAAGGATGTGATGCAAAAACTAGAAGTTTCTTGCGAGTATTTTCTAAACATTTGTTCAACATTCAAGGCAATAAAATATTAAATCTTCTGATAAATATGATCGGTAGACACGATAAGTGGCTAAAAAAATATGCCCAAGGAATGGTTATCAACCGGTAGGTCACCGTGCTGGACAAATACAATTAGGCTGCTAGAGCATCGAGTGCTCTAAAGAGCCCTATCGAGAAAGAATTAAATAATTACAACATGAATAAAGTTCAAAACAACTTCATTCTGTTATTTAATACATGTGGAAGTATTGACGATTCACTGCTCTGGAGGATAGGAGAAGGGGCAGTAGAAACTAAAGGGAAGGGGTCCGACAACGGAGGAACGACCCAACCCCCCCCCCCCCCCCCCCCACTCCCCCCGCAAGTTTTCCCTTTTGCCCGCAGATTGCTTGATTTGTATAGCCCACGTCATTCTTTGAAGCCACCTGGTACGTCAATGCGACGTTTTGCGAACCAGCTTGCACCTTCTGGAGAGCTATCTCTTTGACTTACAAGAAAGCAAATTTTATTAGCAACATTTTCCAGTGGGTTTACTGCACGAGTAAGTACTCTGGAATACGATAGCACACCATGCTCGTGAGATTGGGTAATTGTCTAAGACCTGCTCTGATGGCCTATCTCAGCCTTCTACGCGTTCAGAACATGTTAGGGAATCCTATTTGAAGGGACAACAATAAAGGGGTAAGAGAGACTATCCATGGCCTCCATTCAACCCACGACATATCCATGGCAGATTCTGAAAGTTTCCGACGACCATTACAGAGAAGTCGTAAGGGAAAATGAGCGCCTGCAAACACCATGTTACAGCCCAAAACTTCAAAAGATGCTTCGCATCCCAAGAAAATCTGCAGGAACATGAATCACAATGTGAAAGTATGCCCAGCCCCCAGTTCGACATTACCCTCAAGCAAACATCATCGAAATTTATGAAAACCACATGCTTTTAAAAACACGAAGAAGTGAACACCGAAAACTACCGAGAGCGGACCCAGTGTGTGGTGGATTGAATTGAGGAAATTGTGTAAACAAGTTGAGCTTCTATTTCCAGTTGTTGGGGTGCTCCGGAGACCGGAAGGCGCCGCACAATTACTCGACTGAACGTGGCGCTCCTGCGCTCTAATGTCGGATACAGATTGCCCGCCAATATTGCTATATAGCACCACTCATGTCGTGAAATGCATCAACAATTACTGCTCAGACAGGAACTCTCCACACGGGCAGTACAGACCTACCCCATACCTCTGATATACAGTTGCTTAAGAAGGGGTGAAGATAGGGTAGGCCCGGCGAGAGGGCAAACTGATCAGGTCATGCGGGTAAGTCAGGGCCACAACATTCGAGATTCTTGGGGTGTAAAACCCCGAGACAAAGTAGAATTCAACAGCAAAGTAGAAACAGAAAAGATAATCGATTATTGCCTTAAATACGATATGGATAACTTTTTAATACATTAAACGATAACGTATGATGACATCGATCCAGATCACCTTATCAAACTTCTAGTTACGAGCTTCAGTTAAACATCCTACCGACTGTGGCCCACTTGCTCATCCATCACACAGCAAAATCCCGATTTCATCTGTTTTCCGGCAACAGGGCAGCTTTGTGTTATGAAACATGAAAAACTAGTCATGGAATGTCTATGCCTATTTAATAATTGCAAGCCTCACCAAAATTCGCTGAGCGAAACCGCGAACGAGCAGTCCTCCTGATATGCCCCAATAATGAAGCGAAAGTGCAAGACAAGTAAGAGAAACCAAATTTTTGGACATGTTTCTGTGGGCGAAGGACAAGGTTGGCACGACGAGATTCGTTTGTGTATGCGTGGCCCATATACGTATACATATAGTATGTACATGTGTGTAGTGTATCCAAGTGTCTCCATGCGAATACAAACGACGAAGCAGCTCATTACGAAATAATAGGAAACCGTTGTAAAGTGCATAGCGGGCGCAAGGATCGATGCCAGTGAATCCAAGGTAACATGGGAGGCAAGCCGAGGATAGAGAGGTGAGAGCAGACATATGCACACACCACCACATACACATACATACACACAGACCCACATACATACACGCACAGTGGAGAAGACCACCTCGTTCCAGTCCCTTTGCATCGTCAAATTCCTCAATAAAGGTCATCTTATTGGATGACTCCAAAGAAAAATAGCTTGGAGCTAATAGCTTAGGTACTACTCGTGCTTGTTCTTGGAATACGCCACGTATATGGCTTCTTGTCAGCATCGCGCCCTTTTTATATGCTGGCTCACCCGTGTTATTAAATTACAGCGAGGAAGAAAGTCATACAGTGCATATGACAACGTTTTTGTGCTGCCGAAACGAATTAGTTACTAATTCTCACCCCGGCAGATAGGGACCCTGCCATCACCATGCACCTCACGCAGGATGCCTCTCTCGAAATCTGCTGTCACGCTGGGCTTGAGTGAGTGTCTAACCCATATCAACAGCCCTAAAAACGAAGAAAACAAACAGTGTTAGGCTAGAAATAAAGGTGTATCCCCTGAAAATTATGATTTTCAATGGAATGCAGTACCTTGCCTAGATGGCATACCTAACAGGATTACTTCTAGTATTAGTCTACCAGCGAAACATATTGAACGGAATGAATCCAAGAAGATCGAGCGTGAAAACGTTTTTTACCGGAAAAAATGGCCAAAAATACAACAGGCACATTGACAGGACTGGAACCAAAAGGTGTTTGATCAGATATTAACAGCGGAAGTAGCTGGTAGATGTTCATCTGTGAGTTGCTCAGTGAGAGCTAAACATTGTTAGCTGAAGAGCTTTTTGAGTGGTCCTCTTCCAGAACTGCATGCGAAGCGATTACCACCTGTTAACGCTTGGCTGGCAACCGAGTCTCTCGGGAATGATCAAGTTATTCTGTGTGAGTCGATCGTCGTTATGACCTCGGACGCTTTCACTAACAAGATCGTAAAACTTGGCTTACACGTTAAGCAGGCAGTTGGTTTTGTTACAGTTGCAAAAGCCAAATAACAGGTGTTACTCATGAATGACGTAAAAGTTATTAACAGAAAGAAAGATCCTATTAATAAGATTGGCACAACTTTGGTTGGTGCGAGCAGCTGCTACGTATGAAACACCTTTTCTGTTAAGGTAACCCTCACCTACTTCGTGTTAACATTCGGGAAATACAGAAGATTACCTGTGGTGAGACTAAGGAG